TATCACATCGATAATATTGATTAAAAAATTGTGCAAAAAGTAGGTTGATTAATTGGGATAATTGTGTTTGAATAATTAATGGTTAAACGTTAAGGATCATTGACTCCCAGTGACAATATTTGAATAAAATGTTGTTAGGCTACCCATATAAAATTGAGGTATCCTACTCAACTTTAATGGTCCAAATCATTATATCATTATTATTTACTCCCTCCGTCCCTTATAACTTTGCCAACTTTCCTTTTTTGGACGTCCCACTAACTTTGCCACTTTCCCTTTTAAGTAAAGAATTTGTGGTTCCAGATAATTCTCTCTCCTCTGCACAAACCTCAACCACACAGTTTTTACTTTATTAATCCCCGTGCCGGTCAAACTTGACAAAGTATTGAGGGACGGAAGGAGTATATCTAAATTATTCAATTACGTACAATATACTCCTTATTTTAATTGATTCACATGGATGAGGTCTGGTCGGGTTCGGTCCGGGCTGGTCCGGTCTTGACAGGTGCTAAACCCTAGAGCGAGTGTATATATAGATGGTGATTGGTGAGGTTTAATGATGGTTTGATTATTGGAATGGCGCAGTTGTCTTCATTGGGATCGGCGCACGATGAGATTGACTTTGAGTTTCTCGGGAACGCAAGTGGGGATCCTTACGTTCTCCACACAAATGTCTTCACGCAAGGGAAGGGTGGAAGGGAACAACAGTTCTACCTTTGGTTTGACCCTACTAAGGACTTCCACACCTACTCCATCCTCTGGAACCCTCAAAGCATCATGTATGTGCATCCCACTTTATACAGAGTAATATCCCTTAAAACTTTACCAAACATCGAAAAATAATAAAGTGAAAAATGTGTGTTTGAAGTTTGTACAGATGAGAGATAAATAACAGAAACCACAAAATAATAGATTAAAAGATAAAGTGATGATAAAGTTTCTTGAGACGACCTAAAAGGAAAAGATGGCAAAGTTTTAAGAGATGGAGAGAGTAATAACTATCTCATATGCTTCTAATATACTTCGTATAATAATTGATGTTTTTAATTGAACTTATTACTATCCCAGATCGAATGAGACTAGATTAATTTATATCATTAGACCATTTGACAGTAGTAAAATACACATAAATAATGTCTATCAGATTAGATGTGAGATTTATACTGATCATATTAGATCAGAAAAATTCATTCAAATTAAAAGCATTTGTACTCGTAAATTTATAATTATTATTCACTTCTTGTCATTTAAGGAGTGTTTGGGTTTGCTTAAAAAAAGCGTTTTTCAGCTTTTGGCTTTAAAAAAGTTGAAAAGAGTGTTTTCAAATGACAGCTTCTGCTTAAATTAATCACTTAAAAGCTAAAAGCTGGAAGCAGGTAGAAGGGTGCTTTAAACTGCTTCTCACTTTTTCTATTACACAAAAAGTACTTATTTTACCAAACACTACCAACTCTTACTTTTCCAGAATCACTTTTTTCTCAAACACTACCAACTTTTACTATTAATCATTTTTCACAAAATCACTTTAAAAAATCGCTTTTTTAAAGTTGAAGCAATTGCAAACACTCCCTACACTCCCTTAATACGTTGTCAAAAAAAATCTTGTCATTTAATAGGAACCAAGTAGGCATCTGGAATGAATGTCGTGCATGTTTAATAATAAACAAATTGAGGCGTCTATGCACTATTTATCTAAAGGTAGATTCTATGGTACCCATAAGGTACCGTACCTTTGTCCACATGGACCAATGAGAATGTTGCAGTTGAATTATTTAAATCAAAATTAAAAATGATATCATGATGTGGAACAATCAAGTGAATGGTAGGTACGGTACCCCAATTTTTAAATGGGTACCGGAGTTGTCACCTTTTTTTATACCAAATGTGCTTATAAAATCAAATGCTTCGTACATAAGAACGATTCCAAACTGAGGTTTTCAGATTTTTTGTCTATTTCTGATTTCATAGAGATAGCTGATTGCCGTTTTTGGTATGGACAAGTCTTATTTTATACTCCCTCCGTAACATTCATATCTTCCCACTTTCCTTTTTTGGATGTAACATTTATATCTTCCCATTTCTAAATCTTCCCATTATATCCTCAATAATTTAAAAAACAATACACTATTACACCTACTTTTTTTGGATTTATCCTTCATTCCATCACATTATTTCACTATCTTCCCATCATACCCTCAATAATTCATATCCCCTTTCACTATTCTTAATCTCACCCACTTTTGAAGTGGGAAGATATATGTGATACGGAGGGAGTACAGTAATTCTTTCTCATTGGGGCATAGTTGGTCTATAATCCGTCCAAATGAATAATTCGTGTTCTACACGCGTACATTAATTTATGTATTGTCTGAAAATATGTCATAAAAAACATGAACTGCTGGAATTTTAAAATCATAAAAAAGGTACAATAATTCACTTCAATTCATTCTATCATAGAATGAAATGATTTTTCTCAGAACTAAACGTTTTTTAATATACTACGTATTGTATTTAAAAGTGTCATTATATTATTCTCCGTGTGGTGCCATTACCAAAGCACTTGATTAATTAATACTTAATTGTTTTTTTATCGTTAATACCTAATTGTTAGAAAAAGTTTTGTTTTATATGCTTTCTTTTTCATTAAATAGTATATTCATAAAGGAATGCATTATTAATGTATGTACGACAATTAATTAATTTTGGCAGATTTACAGTAGATGGGACTCCTATTAGGCAATTCAAGAATTTAGGATCAAATGGGATCCCATACCCAAAAGACCAACCAATGTGGGTTTATGGAAGCCTATGGGATGCAGAAGAATGGGCCACAAGAGGTGGGCTAGTGAAGACTGATTGGAGCCAAGCCCCATTTGTAGCCTCATACAGCAACTACACGGCCCAAGCCTGTGTTTGGAGCGGCCCAGCATCAAGTTCTTGCTCAAAAAACCCATCAGCCAATCCGTGGCTGGTTGAGTCGCTAGATAACAGCGGGCAAGGGAGAATCAAATGGGTGCAAAAGAATTACATGGTCTACAACTATTGCAGTGATGCCAAACGCTTCCCGCAAGGCTTCCCGCTAGAATGCTCACTAAATTCATGATTCAATCTCCTTATTATCATAAATAAAGAAAAATGGGCAAATTAGCGCTGAAACTATTTGCGTATTTGCAATCAGGCCCATGAACAGGAAGACTTGTAGATACACCCCTCAACTCGTTGAAAATTAAGCAATTAGATCATTTTTACCTGCTGGTGCCGGTAATTTCTTATCACCTTACCTGCACCAGCAGGTAAAAAATGATCTGATTGCTTAATTTTCAACGAGTTGAAGGGTGTATTTGCAAGTCTTCCGGTTCAAGGACCTGATTGCAGAATCGCAAATAGTTTGAGGGCTTATTTGTCTCTTTTATCATAAATAAATATATTTTCACCTTACCTGTTTTTATTTGTAACTTGTTTTCTTTTCTTGTTCGTGTGTCTTCCTTGGTGTTATAAAGTCGTATATACGATAGTATGTAAATAGAAACTGTTTTAGTTTATTCATACATAATAAATGTTATATATTTCTCCAAAAGAAAATTGTATTATATCTCTAACCATTGAATAATAAAATAGATGTTCCCATTTTGCATAGTAATTGCATTTGAATCCATTCATTCCGGGGTAATTCCAATCTCGAATCCTATTCGATCTATCACATAAAGTTCTACTCATGAGATTTATTTAATTATGTATATTTCACATTTTTTCAGTGTTTTTCATTATTATATTTCACATCCTAGTTGATTATTAGCATATCACTTGGCCTACATAAGAGTAAAAGGATGATAAATTTACTAGTATTATTTATGAACTTCTTCAATTCAGGTCAACACAATAGCTTTTTCATTCTAAATTTGTAAGGATTATTATTTTCACACCTCTCGTTCAGGGGCGGATCTACTTTGTTCAGGGTGTTCAAGTGAACACCCAAAATTTTAAAAATACAATACAAAAATACATGTCAAAAATTGATGTAATATTTTTTTTGTAATATCTTAATGGTAAAATCATTTTGAACACTCAAAATCTGATTGCAAGATCCACCACTACTCTCATTTAGTCGCGGCTGGCATACTCTCATAAAATGGAGCTACATTATATGTATCTCATTGACATCCATTTCTTTGATGGAAATTATCCAGTTATTTCATTAACATTGTGGCTAATGTTGCTTTTAGGAAGTTATATGCCTTCTCTACAGAGTACTTAGTCTTATGCCCCTTTCATTTTATATTCTTTTAATTTTTCCTTTATTTTTGAATAAAATTTGATACACATGTTCCGCTACATTTATCCACTTATTTTGATGGAAAAACCTATCGGGTTTAAAGAAAAGAATATACATATACTTCCTCCGTATTCTTTTTCGGTACACTTCTCTTTTTGAGAAGTATTTTATTTTTTGCAACATTTTCTCTCTTTTGGCACGTTTCTCATTTAAAACAACTTAATTAATTTACTTTTTTAACATTTTCATCATGTCTGTTAAAGTTTTTCATCCACTCCAATGTTTTCTACATTATTCATTACTTCTATTATTTTAACTTTAAACTTTGTGAAGAAACTAATGTACCGAGGTGGAGATAGGGGCTGGCGTGGGCCTGGCCCCTTCGAGATATTTTTTGTAATGTATACACATATGTACAAATATTTATAGGCAGTAAAAAACATGGTGAAATTTTAAGTTTTGATTCCTAGTATAAAATTTCTTAAGCTCTGATCAACCTAACCTCTCATTTCTGACTCCGCCATTGCTATGTAACAAATAAAAGAATACAAAAGTTGTATTTATTTATTTATTCATTTATTCATTTTTAATTTATTTATTTATTTTATTTAAAGAACATGAAACGTAGTTACCATATTCTTCACAAGTTCACACATTAATGTGGTATAAAATAATTGGTTGAGAAAGGTCCAAGGAGACAGGCGTCCAACTATATAGCTGATCCATCTAACCTTACTAATTACTGTCGGCTAGTTAATGAAGAAAATCAGGAAACCTCTGTTTCACACTTTCACTAATCCAGAAAATAAACATGGAAGAGCAAACGACCCCAATAAGTTACAACAGTTTACAGCTCCTCCGGGAGCTGGAAGCATTAAGTGCGTCCCTCGATCTATCTCATCACGACCTCTCCGGCGCCGGCGCCGTAGCTTCCACCACCCGCCGCAAGAATGAGGAGGAGGAGGAGGAGGAGGCAGGGGAGGGGGAAGTGGTCCGCCGTAAACGGGTCAGTTTTAGAGACATGACGTTCCGCTTGCGGCGGCGTGATGAGGAGAGCAGAGGAGGAGGGAGCTGGAAGCTGCCCGTGCGGCGGGCACTGTCCCGGATCCTCCGTCATCCGCCGCACAAGCTCAGCTGCCTGTTCTGCGTGGAAGTGGCGGCGGTTCGAGGCCTTCCCACGTCAATGGACGGTCAACGCCTCACAGTTTGTGTCCGGAAGAAGGAGACGGCGAGGATGACGGCGCGGACGGTCCCGTCCACAGTTTCCAATGGAGCCGCTGACTTTGGGGAGACGCTATTCGTGATGTGCCACGTGTATTTCGGTGGCGGCCGAGGCGGGACCCGCCTCATATTTGAGCCCCGCCCCTTTTTCATAAGTGTATTCGCGTCTTTCTCCTTAGCAGAAACAGGGGACGGCGGCGGCGGCCGGAAGCTGCAGCTTGAGCTTGGAAGAAGCTCTGTCGATTTAAGCCAATTAATACAGGAATCAATAGATAAGAGCTTTCAAGGTACGAGTCTATTTACTAGTAGTACAGAAATTCTCCGGAAAGAGTACGTTTCTCTTTCGGAAACTCTTTTCAAACTCTCCAAACGAGTCTTTTTTGGGCAAAAGTTCCTACTTTCAGATTCCTCGTGACTTTCGCGCCTTCATGCAATATAGCTCAACTCAATTCCGGGAACTTCTCACAGTTTATTCTTTTTATATGACTAAATAACTTTTATTTTGAAAATAAAACGTATTTAGTCCTATTTTTAAACATTACCCATGATTTACTCCTATGTCAAACATACATATGTACATGCAGGTATAAGAGTGCGACAGTGGGATATGAGCATTAACATGTCATCTGAAAAAGCTTGGGGTGGAAAGCTTTTTCTTAAACTATGGTTTCAGATAATGGAAAAAGATGATGGAAGAAAAAGCATTGAAATTTACACTACTAGTGAAGGCAGAAGGTTAGCAGCAGATATGTGGATGATAAAGAAGAAGGGAGAATATGGACCGCCTTATGAGTTTGCCCGGAGACAGTCGAAAGACTGCTTTAGTGTCTCAAGCAATGGCAGCGGGGGAGCACTGGATTCTAAGAAGTTATTAATGTTGGATAACAATGTGGAGAGAATGTTGGATGAGGTGAACCAAAATTATGACAGTAATGTAAGTGAAAGTGGTGATGAAAAAGGGGTAGAGGATGGTGATGACATGTTTCTTGAGTTTGATGTGGTGGATAAGGGAGTTGAGCAACAACAGCAGGCCCCCGTCGATGAATGGGCTTCGTCGTCTATGATACTTTTGAATGAACCTCATCAGCTCTTTCATTGTCTCAGTAGCTGCTACAGATTGAAAGTGCTTGATTCTATCTCTCAACGAATCACATCCCTCGAGTCTATCTTCTCATCATCATACACTGATAGCATGTCAGAAGAAGGAAAACTAAACAGTGAAGAAGAAGAAGAAACTACCGTTACAAGAGAATTTATTCAAATGCTTGATTCCAATACTGAACCAATCAAATCTTTTGAATCCATCTTCTCATCATCAAACATTGATAACATACCAGAAGAAGGAGGGGTGGACAGTAGAGAAGAGGAGGAAATTGTCACAAGAGAATTTATTAAAATGCTTGAAGAGGAAGAGGAAGAGGAGGAGGTGGAGGAGGATGAGAAGGATTTAGTTCATAATAGTGATGCATCCGGACGACTACATATCTTCGTACCACCAGATCTTGGGGAGGGGTTGGGTTGCGTTGTTCAAACAAGGAAAGGGGGCTACCTTGCATCGTTGGATCCCCTGAGGGTATGTATGCATGTTCTTTATATGTTTCCAGCTAATATGAGGGAATCTATCATCTATGTAATAGTTTATTACTATGTCGTTCATATTTTAACCGCATGAAAAATACTTCAAAGATCTCATTCATGATCAGACACATACATATTGTCTAGATCGAGTCATCATTCATTCATTCATTTTTTTCATCGGTTCATGATTGTCAGTTTATAGTTTTGCATAGGGTCCCATATCATGATTATGGATCACGTTAGCTGTGATATCATTTTTAAGACCTTAGGATTCCATTTTAAGAGGCCAAACTCATAGGAGTAGGATGAAATCTTATGATAGTTATTAGGTCATATTTTGTTAGTGCAAGAAATAATTCAACACAAAACTTCTTTACTCATCATCAGTTATTAACATTTGCACGACGCTGTTCTAACATATGTTTATTTGGTGTACCTATCCCGGCCTGGCCGACCAGTACTTTCCGAGTTCCATCAAACGGATGTCGAATGTTGGAGCGACGACAACAGAAGCCCCAAAACTCGCAATGCAGCTGTCACAACCACTTGTTCTTCTTCCTTCTCCCACACCAATGGATGGGATTCAGTTTTTCCGAAGGATGGCGGCTTTTGGACTTGAAGACATCAGCTCTAATGTTTTACATTTCATGCCTATGGATGATCTCCAAGGCAAGACTGCAGAGCAGATCGCTTTTGAAGGCATTGCTTCCCAAATCAATAGTCATGTCCGAATAAGGAACTTGGAGGAGGAGGGCCCAACCACCACTACATCAAATGCATACTCTTTTGTAAGTTTCACAATCTTATTTTCCTTATAGCTTGTGCGCCAACCCATCCCACCCACACGTAGTACAAAAAATTGAAATCCCGATATGTATATGTGTAGTGTGTGGTTTAAAATTTGAAGTATTTATACCATAAACAAATATCATCAATTAATTATACAATAAATACCAATGGACCTCTTAAACTTTACCCATATATTCCTATTGTTATTGCAATATAACTCTAATATTATTACATTTTATCGTAGGGGCAAAATTTATGTAAAACATCACTAGTATTTCATACTCCGTATTCCTTAAATGAGTTTAGAATGTTTTTAATTGGACATGTATCAATCCCAGATCAAACCAGGCTAGAACAGAACCAAACAAATCAAATTAGATTTTGAAAGTTGTAAAATATACATTGAATAGACATCTGGCTCACCAACTCGCACCAATTTAGATCAGACCATACTTAAACAAACCAGACCAAATCAGATCAAACATTACCATATTAGAAAATAACATCCTAAAGAACAAAATATGTAATGCACAAACAAAATTAGAGTAAGAAGTAAAACTGACATGATGATGGAGACCAAATAATCAACTTCAATCCCAGCCAAATAGGAATAAAACATAGACAATGTTTTAAATAGGATCATGTATATTTTCTTCCCCAAAAAATGTTTATTAAAAAAAATAAATGAATAAATATTTGAGAAATAATTCAACTTCCCCAAATAGGATTGCATGAGCCCTATTTTCTAAAGAAAATAATTCAACTCTTATTTGAGAAAATTTGCAATGTGCTTCTCCTATTTAGGAAATTATCTCATAAAAACAACACGTAATGGAGAAAGGAAATGAAGAGAAAAGATATATCATTATAGAAATTTTTCAATAAAGCAGTAAGTTGATTAAAAACATGCACAAAATTCAAAAATAGGACGATATACGTTTTAAAAAAATAATTTTCTATACATCATTATTGGTAAGCATATCAATGGAGGTATGTGACATAATAAACATTCATAATTTGCTATTTCTGATCCGATTTTATTATTATGATTGTCACATACTACACGTGTAAAAGTAGTCACTCTTTGGGCTCAATTTAGTCACATAATTGTATGAACAAAAATCATGTATATGTATGCATGTGGTAGCCGCAAATCCGCCGCACATTTGGTGCAGTCATGGCAAACAAAAGAAATAGAAGTACACAAAACATGGAGGAGGAGGAGGAGGAGCCTTTGACAATGGAAGAGCTTTTAGCATTCGCAGTTCAGAATGTCAATGAAATTACAATTGACGCCCTCAAAGTTCAAGCAGGCGTTGATGAAGAAACCGCACCGCTTGATGATGTTTCACCACAATCGTATAACAGTAATCAAAAGTATTCAAAAGAAAATGAAGAAGAAGACTTGTTCCTACTCGCGCGTGCGGTTCCACTGCCTGAATGGCTAATAAAAGATGGTGGTGGTGGTGGTGGTGGTGGTGGTGGTGGTGGTGAGAGCATAATGATATGTTTTGTTGTCCAACTGCGGGACCCATTGAGGCAATATGAGGGCGTTGGAGGTCCGATGATTGTACATATTCAAGCTGATTACTGCATGAAACCGCTGCCTCATAATAATAAGATTAAGTATGATGATGGAGAGAAGAGGTATAAAGTACAGGGGTTGAATATTGGGGGTATAAAAGTGAGGGGTGGAGACGGTGGGCGGAAGGGAAATGTGTGGGACACCGAAAAGCATAGGGTCACTGCCATGCATTGGTTGATAGAATATGGACTTCTTGAGAAGCCAAAAAATCAAAATGTCATCAAGAGTAGTGTGAAGGAGGATTTTTTGTGGAGTTTTTCCTCACTCAAACCATTAAAAAATCCAAATGTCAAGCTCGCTTGTTCAGTAAATTAAAAGGTAAACTAGTTATTTTTCTTTTTCCATATATATAATACTTACATTCTTTTTTTGTTGCAACTTTAATGAATTTTACATGATTCACATGTTCTACTTTGATTACATTTTACTATCCTCCATTTTTTTAATCGCAACATGTTGAATTTTACACTATTCACGTATTCTACTTTGACTACATTTTACGGTATTTTTTTAAAAAAAATATTGTACAATTCATCTCATTACAAACTTTCAAAATCTGATTTTTAATTATTTTTTACTAATAGAGATTAAGATATAATTTCGGTTAAAGACGTGTATTGGCAAGTGTGAAATGTTGACCGTTGCAACTAAAAAAGAATGGAGGAAGTATTTATTAATGGATTACTCATATAAATTAAAATTTTGAAAAATATTATTAAATTCCTCTCGTTTTAAATTTCAAATCTGGTTTTTTTACTAATAAGGAATTACATATATTAATAGTCAAACTTGTGCGTTGAAAAACGTTAAAATTAAATCATTGAACTAAAAAAGAATGGACGAAATATATATTTGAAAGTGTTTAAACTTGACTTTTTCTCCTCCTATCTTCCTATATACAAACCACCGTGGAAAGGATGGTGATTTTCCCGCCCATTTCCACTGGTCAACTATGGGCCAAGTCAGGTCAAAAGGGGCAGCCATCTCTTGCACGTGTAAAATACGGACGTGACAATGTTTAATAGTTGTCCATCTTCTCAAAACTTTTTCAAAACATTAAATGAATTGTTAGACCATGTCTTATGCATCATTGAGCAGCACAAGATATTAGTTGTTTACCTTTAAAGTATAATGGCATTAAATGATTTCCAACTACTCAAGCCAAGTTCGAGAAACAATTGCAATAGATATCTCTTGGATCTTAATGTGTTTATTGTATACTGGATATTATAGCCATCTATGCGTAAAAAAAACATGCGTGTCTTGGGTTGTGTGAAAGCATGTGTGTCTTGGGTTGTGTGAACTGCAGCATGCGTGTCTTGGGGGATGCTATCTTGGGATATGTGAAGCGTCTTATGGAAACTTCATGGAAAAAGATCATTATTTCTTGGCTATAAATACTTGCATCTCATATCAAATGGACACCCAGAACCATTTGACTCTTCTCTATTCTCTTTCATTCAAGTATTGAGCCTACAATAAGAACGAATATCATATACGGATAATATATATTTGTATATATATACGGAGTATATATAACAGAAGAAAAATATAGAAATCATGTGTGTATATACTGAAAGATGAGTAACTACTTACTGAAAGGAGAAGAGCAAACGAGCATACAATCCAGAAGTACAAGCAAGAAGACAAAGCATATTTTTGCGGAGTATATCTTTGATTTTACAAAGATGCACACATCATGAAGGATTGGGTCTCTCAGGGGATTATATTGGCATAAAAGATAAATTCTGTATAACTTAGGCACAGTTTAGCTAGGCCCGATAAATCTATGATTTCTTCTTTCATAAGTTATCTTCCATAGATCATTGTTTAGCCTAATACTTCGTATACAAATGGGCAGGTCATCGTGTTCTAAGATAACTTCAGCTTATCTGAAAAAAATACTGAAAAAGAACTAAAACTTTAGTTTATTAGTATAGATTAGGCATATAGATACATTTAGGATGACAAATACGGGTCATTTTTGAAACACAATTGTCAAGTCAGTGAGTATATTAAGATAAAAGCACATAGAGAAGAATACACTACGTAATAGGGAACTTTATAGAGTTTAGCTATAGCTAGGAATTCACTATTTTCATTTTTTGAAAAATTATGTTAGTATAAGTTAAAAGCACGCCAATTAGATTGGCTAATCCCAGAAATTTATTTGTTTGAATTCATTGCTTTACATTATAATTATTAGAAAATAGGTAGGCTATTCGTTTGTTTCTACACTTGAGATTTTAAATATTGAAAAATACACAAGTATTAATATTCTGAAGACATATTAGGCAGATTAGGTAGAGATCTGCAGTAACATTAGCTAAATCATTGATTTCAATTCAAAACTCTAGGTTGTGAGCATTGAAATGTAGTTGGATTAGGCAGATGAATTTCTCAGCAACGACCAGTTGTTTCTCAGCAGCGCTCAGGCTACTGCTCTCCGAGTAGGACGTTTCTAAATTTTATATGAATTTCAGTCCATTGCTCTGAAAAAAAATCAGTTCATCATTCAAATCAACGAATCATTGTAGTAATCATACCTTTAAAGTCTCTCTTATGCTCGGTCTGTGAGAAGCTTCAACGTAGCTACTGTGCGCCTTTCCTAGGTTGAATACTTCCGGCTAACATCTATGGACGGTGTCTGCGATTTTGCTTGGAGGGTAGATAAGTACTAGAAATGAGGTAGAGATGGACAGTATGGGGGAGAAAGTGGAGGATGTGGTTTTTGTATGGTGTCCGTGGCTATGGAGGTTTTTATCAAACGATTTTGGGATGGAAGTGGAATCGAGAAATGATGTCTTCCAACCGTGGAGGCTTTTGGAGTTGCTGAAAAATTTGTCCAACCCTAGGTTAAACGTCATTTTTTAATAGCGGTGGTTGAGTTGGGCTGGTTCTTATAAGCCCAAAAAGATAACTCCTATTATTCATCAGTCCACAACTACGTAGTAATACTCCGTCCCTGAAAATACTTCAATTTCGCTTTTCGAGAGTCAACTTAAATCACTTTTAAACTCTTTATTTATATATTAAAACTTTATGAAAATTGAATTTTTTTTACAGATTTGTAGCAGTTTTAATGTAGTTTCTGAATATGTAAATTTACTAAAAATAATATGAATTTTCACATGGATCATTTAACTTTATTGTTGGTCAAATTTCGTAACCCGCAATTGGAAGTAAATTCAGGGACGGAGGGAGTACTACGTATGTTTAAAAAAAGTGCTTCCATATTCTCAATTTGGCTAATCAATAACATAAAGTGTTATAGGTGATTTTTTTAAACCGTAATGCTCCTTTTGCTAAAGCTAAATATGTTGTATTCGATTTAATTGGTGAAAACAGTTAAACGAAATGACTAAATTGATTTGAATATGATTATTTCCAATTATTAAAATATGTATAATTGTAAAAGGAGATGATTCAAAAATAAAGGCTAGCAATCGCTCTATTTACTAAGGGTAAAAAATAGTGAAATATCCAATTAAAATTTTGTGGAACCTTACTCAATATAGTCCGAATATTTAGAGTATGTTTGGTGACTCTGTTTTACATAGCAGTGTCTAGAGTTACAAATCGCAAAGGCTTTAAAATATTGATTTGTGATGGAGATAGTAAACAAACCGACCATACTGCTAATGTTGTTTACATAGAGGTCTCTCAGAATTTGTAGTATCACTTTATGTTGCAGCTACTAAAGTTTTACTTACCACTTCGTACCTTAAAATGTTATATCTCTTTTTTATTGGATACATTTGCCTTTGCCAAAAAAAATATTACATTGCCCCGCTTGCATCGTTGTCTCAATCTCTCTTGAACTACGAACATTTAATATGTTACTTACCGTTTTATTTTGTGTTCAATTCATTTTGCCTTTTAATAATAAACTTCTTAATCACAAATTGGTAAATATTCATCCGCGCATCGCGCGGGTGAGAATCTAGTTATGTACCAGAAGATGATGGAAAGCAAGATCTTCATCGGGCAAGGCAATGAGGCATGCACAACCAAGACAGTACATACAGTGATGGATTACGCAATTATTAATTTCTTGTTTAACTAACTATAGTACATTTTATACACACTTTTTTTAGAAGGCTATTATTAAAGGTGTGTATAAAATGTGTATACGAAAGTATGTACAAGATCAATAAGGTGTGTATAAGGCTATTAATTACATCTCAAGATCAAATTAATCTTGTATAGTAGAGAGTTATGTAAAAATATATTACCTGCGTCGCACTCAATTTTGCTAACTTCATATTGGGTGTGGAATTGCAAAAAAAGTTATTAATAAAAATTGTATAATTGAAATTTGTGCGATGGAAAGAGAAATGAACCGAGTCGCAATGAGACGGAAGAAGAATTAAAATAGCATCCTTGGGATTGGACTTGATAGGAGACTGATTACCGTCTTCTAAAGTGCATCCTCTTTTTCATATAGAATACGTGGTTGAATAAAAAATACTTTAACCTAATTAAAATACATAATATAAAAAGTATTTTTTGGCACTTTTGAAAAAAGTGAGTCAATTAATTTCTTGCTAATAATTTTCTATAAATGCTAAATAAAATATATAAACTTTTATTTGTGCACATGTTTATGCTCCCAACTTTTTCTGAATAATTTCTTATATATTTTTAAATGATGTATGTCAATTCATCATTAAAAAAAGGAAAACAAAACAAAAGTAATTTTTGTATCCCACATGACATATTTACTTCTAGATTGAATTCTGATCTTCTTTTAATGATGGAAAAATAATATCGAATTACAAACTCAAAGATTTAAAAAGCTAAAACTATTTGAGTATAGAGTACAAAAATTATTTTTCTCGGACAAATCAAAATGCACTCCTCGGAAATTCAGATCCAGAAGGAGGGAATACTAAATAAACATTAACCAAGAAAAACTAACACCTTTTAATTTATGCCTGGATTTCTACTATACCGTATTTATATTACATAGTGACGATTCCAAATTTATAATAATCCAACTCGATGAAGGAAATTAATAAATATCCCCCATTCATATTATTTCCCATCGTATCCCCACTGTGCAATAATAACCCAAAAAAATCTTGAACCATTGAAAAAATATATTCTTCCACAAATTCAACTAGCCTTAAAAGTCCATCGACGCCGTCCATTTTCTCGATCCAACCACTAAATTCAACGTCACAGATTCAGCGGGACGTGATTGAAATCTTCAGATAAGCCTCTGGATGATCGGACATCATCGCTTGTGTAGGAAGAGTAGAAGTCATCCTCACCGTCCCTTTCTCGGACTTCTTCGATCCTCTCCACAGCTTCCCTCATTTCCCACCGCTCCTCCAAGTGCACCTCACAACAGTTAAGCGCTATCCTAAGCAATTTGACGATTTCGCCCTCAGAGTTCTTTGTAACCCCCGTCATGCCCTCGTCCAATAAAACCTCCAGGTTCGGGACTGTTGACCGGACCCAGTCAACGACGTCAACATCGGTCGAGAACTTCCCGGTTAACATTTCGAGAATCAGCGTCCCGAGGGACCATACGTCGGTTTTCCGGCAGAGGCGGCGCCCGCCTTGCCTGAAATCCGGCGACCGGAAGGCGATCATGTGCTCCTCGGCGTGGTCTTGGTTGACGATGGGTAAGAGGCCGTAGTCGGTGATTAAAGGCTCGTACGAGGAATCGAGAAGAACGTTGGAGGATTTAAGGTGGCCGTTGGGAACAATCATGCTGGGAAGCTCGCTGAAGAGGTAAAGCATTCCCCTGGCCACTCCCTTGATGATTTTCAATCGAGTTGGCCAGTCCAGGTCTTGCTGCTGATGATTTGAATTGCTTTTCTTACCTGAAGAAACATCCAATTCATCACAAATATAACAGAAATAAGTTCTTATGTTGTACAGAAATGTGAAAATTACGGGGAAACATGAAACGTGTCTTTTAATAGAAAAACCATCGTAATTTTCAAAGAATAAGAGACTATTGTGTCTTTTCGTTCACACACAATGCTAATATGAATGAGAGACTATGTGTCATTTCCTTCCGACACAATGATAATCCCTATTTAGAATTATAGTAATTCATCACAATTCACAAAAGACTAGAAATCTCTTTTTTTAAGAGAAAGATTCAATGCATTTCATTATTTATAGTCTCTAGAATACAAAAAGGAACATATGAAAAATCTTTGCAAGAAGCGTAACTAATAGATGACTTTGCCAAGGCGTGGGCACTATTATTCGTTTGACGCTTAGTAAAAACAACATTAAAACTACTGTTGGAACTCAAAAGTGACCTGCAATCTGCTACCAATGCGCCATACTAGAAATCTCTTTTGAGTTTTATGAGCATAGGTTTAATTTATTTTCACTTATAAAATGAAAATATATTGAGATTCAGATGATCAAGTACGCAGTAATACTAAATTAAACATACCATGGAGATGATAAGCCAAGCTTGAATTCTGCACATAGTCAAAGACCAATAGTTTCTCCTCCTTCCTATAGTAGAAAGCCACAATAGGAAGCAAGTTCTTGTGGTTCAACCTCCCCAACCTTCTCATGTGCTCAATGAAATCCTCCTTCTCTACATTACTCATTTGTCTAAACCTCTTCACAACCACCATAGGCCCAGAGCTAAGGCCCGCTTTGTAAGTCGATCCAAACATGCCGTTGCCCAGTACCTCCGCAGAGGCCTTGAGTAGATCAGACAAGTCAAACTTGCCCGCCTCTTCGCTCCTTAGAAATGATAACTTAACAGTTGTCGCGTGATTGTCAGTTGACCTCTTTCCACCACCGGCAATATGATGCTCTGAAGAAGGAGCGGAGCCTCGTTCCATTTTATCCATGTCAGCCGTCGTGTGGGTGCCCACCTGCGCTCGTGTTGACCCGCCACCATCCTCATTGTGATCAGATTGTCTCTTGCGCATGGCAAAGATGATGGCAATGGACACCGCTATGACTACTAACACGGCGATTCCAACAATGATTAATGTTTTAAATTGAGAGTTATTAGAGTCTCCGAGTTTATCAGCCTTGCATGGCTCCAAAGGCTTTCCACAAAGGCCAATGTTTCCTGTAGTATATATAAATTATAAATAATTATGATTTGATGGCGTAGAATTAAGATAAAGAGAGTGGACAAAAATATATTGTGACACTGGTTATGTTTTGTTTTGGACTCATCATGTTTAGTCGCACTTTTATCCATAAGCTTTGTTCCAATATTTTAGAAAAAACTCATGTTACATAAGCAATGTTTAAAAAAACATGTAATGTGATAAAATACAATAGTGTAACAATTTGATATTGTTAGAATATGGTGTTCCATCTTTAAATTAAAAGAACGTACGGAGTAACCTGGAATATTGTACTACGTAGTATATTACGAAGTAATTTATTATTTTCATACAACCAAAAAATATTAATCTATTGTTTAACCTTTGACATTGTAGGTCAAGCGTTCGGCATACAAACGCTACACCCAAATTTGGAAAATTGGGAAACATGTTTCATAATTTAATTAACAAAGTTAATTTTTGAACATGTTTCTTGTGACATATATAAACATCATTATGAGACTGTTATATACATTTTGATGATGCATTGGTCAATCGATTATGAGACTAAGCTAGTTCATGATATTTTTTTTATTATCATTTAAATTTATATATAGTACCTGAGAATGAGGACGCTTTGAGACCAGAAAGCTTAGCGGGGATTTCACCTTCAAGATTATTGTTAGAGAAATTAGCAATGGTCAAACGGTCTTGATTAAATTTTGGTATTTGTCCATAAAAGTTGTTGTTTTCAATCATCAACTCTATAAGCCTTTTGGATGTAGCCAATGAGCTAGGAATAGCTCCGGAAAATTGGTTGTGTGCCAAATGAACTTTCTTCAATGATTGCATTCCGGAAAAAGCATCATCTGGAATCTCCCCGGAAAAATTGTTACGAGACAAATACAAGAATTTCAGAGACCCAAGTTTCTTAAAATTGGGTAATGGACCTTGGAAATTGTTGTTCATGGCGCCGAGAACCCTAAAAGATTTCAATCCCATAAGGGATTCCACGTCAATGGTCCCACCAAGTCCCATATTGTTCAAATTAAGGCCGTGGACGCTATCTCGTATGCACAACACCCCGTACCAGTTGGGGCGACCCCCGGTGCACGGACTAGCCCCCCTTGCGTCCCAATTGGACAACGACGTAGCATTCTCCAATGAGGCTTTGAAGGTTACAAGGATCTCTGCCTCGGTTTTGCTATAACAAGTAGCGATTAAGCGGAGGAAAATGACAAGAACCAAGATAAAATGTGAGGAAGAAGAGATAGCCATGATGAGATCATACAGTGGTGGGCGTGCGCGCACTTGTGACAAGTGCGCGCCCTGTGGAGGGGCTGCTCCTACAAATCAATATGGTGAATGTTTTGAGGGAAGAGACGGCTTACAAATGGTTTGAGATATTGTGTGCATGAAAATTGGAACAAACAACATAGTGAGAGAGAGAAGAAAGCGGCTTATTGTAAGGTGTTGGCATTAGGCTTCCAAAAATGGACAAATGGCTTGAAATCAAGTCAAATTGATAGGGTCCTCTTCTTTCTCTACTCAATGCTTTACTCTAGCACGAGAGATTTGCGATTAACCATTATATTATTAATTAATTGATTAATCAATCAATTAGTTAAACAATCCTTTCAAAAAATCAATTAGTTAATTAATTAATAAGTAATTGCTACCTAATACTTATTTCTTGTATCCACCGGGAGCTATAACAATAGAGTAATAATGTGTGAATAAATATGTGTAAACCATTACTTTTAATTACTCAATTTAAAATGCTAACCAAATGAAAATGACATGTTTAGAAAAAAAGTTATGTGAAACACATAAAGCCTTTAAATATTATAGAAATAAAACTTAGGATTAATAGCTATATATATATATATATATATATATATATATATATATATATATATATATATATATATATATATATATATATATCCTCAACTATCATGAAATTCACAAATCTATCTCATACTTTTACTTTTATAGAAAAGACTCAAAGTTCAACTTTTATCACAATTACACTTTCAATGGATGAATTAGTAAAAGTTAAGAACAAAATTATATTTATATTTCATATTTTTTCAATTCTTTCTAGTTTTAAGTTTACAAACTTGTATTGCTTGTATCTTTTTGGTATTGAAATTGTTTAATTTTGAAAAAATCCAAAGAAGAAAAGCATAATTGTTGAAAAAGATTAAGTTTGAGTCTTTTTTTGATAAAAGTGAATGAATAGGATAGATTTGTGAATTTGATAAT